AAAAAAAAAAAAAAAAAAAAAGAATCCCAACCTAAACCCCACATCTTATACAAAAATCAACTCAAAATGAACTTGAAAGTAAAGTATAGGGGTGCCTGGATGGCTCAGTCAGTTAAGCGTCTGACTCCTGATCTTGGCTCAGGTCATGATTTCACTGTTTGTAAGCCTGAGCCCTGTACTGGACTCTGTGCTGACAGTGCGGAGACTGTTTGGGATTCTCTCCCTCTCTCTCTGCCCCTACCCCACTCATTCTCTCTGTCTCAAAATAAACTCTAAAAAAAAGTTAAAAATTAAAAAAAAAAAGAAAAGAAAACATAAAACCATAAAACTTTTGGATAGAAACACAGTAAAAAAATCTCTGGAGCTACAGGCAAAGGGTGATAGAAATAGGCAAGGAATTCTTACACTTGACACCATAGTACAATCCATAAAAGAAAAATCTAATAAACTGGATTACATCAAGATTTAAAACCTTCCCTCTGAAAGACCCTGTGAATAAGATGAAAGGACAACCTACAGACTGGGAGAAAATATCTGCAAGCCCCACATCTGACAAAGGACCTAGATTACCTAGAATATATAAAGATTCAAAAATCAATGGTACCAACAATCCAATTTAAAAATAGGCAAAAAATATGAACATGAATAGAATCTATAGATGGCAAATAAGCACATGAAAAGATATACACCCTCAGCCATTAGGAATAATACAAGTTAAAACCACGACACAGCACTATATACCTATTGGAATGGCTACAGTATAAAAGAGCGAGAACATCAAATGGTGGCAAGGATGTGGAGAAACTGGATCACATATACATTGTTAGTACAAATGTAAAATAACACTGCCACTCTAAAAAGAGAATGGTGTTTCTTACAAAACCAAAAATGTATTTATCATACAACCCATCAAGTACACTTTCAGGCACAGATCCCGGAGAAATGAAAATTTATGTTTACACAAAAAACTGTAGAGGAATGCTCATAGTGGCATTATTAGTTAATAGTTAAAAACTGGAAACAACCCCAATGTCCTCCAATGGGATACACCATAACACTCAGTGGTACGTCCATACTATGGAATACTACTCAAGAATAAAAAAGGAACACACTATTGATATATACAACAATTTGGATGGAGCTCTAGGAAAAAAAACATCTATTCATCTCAAAAGCTTAAATACTACATGATTCCACTTATATATCATTCTTAAAATGACAAATTTAAAGAAACAGTGAACAAATTAGTGGATGTCACAGGTTAGAATGGAAGGAAGGCAAGAAGGTAGCTGTGCCTATAAAAGTTGGTAGCGCAGGATCCTTGTGATAGAACTGTTCTGCATCTTGATTCTGGTGGTGGTCACATAAATCTACACAGTGATAAAACTGCACAGAACTAAACATATACACACACACAAACACAAATGAATTCATGCAAAACTAATGAAACCTGAGTAAGGTTGATGAATTCTATCACTATCAAAACCAATTTCCTGGCTGCAATATTGTAATTATGCAGTATGTTACTGCTGGGGAAATTGGAAGAAGGGTATATAGGATCTCTACATATAATTTTCATACAACTGCGTATCAATCTATAATTATCTCAAAATAAAAAGTTAAAAGCACTTTTTTAAATCCAGTAAGAAAAAAAACTGAGGACCCTATACAGTTAACAAGTATTTCAAAGATATCATTACAGATGACTGATTTTCATGCTCCCAAGTGGGCAGCCACATAATTAACCTCCATCTACTACTCAGAATCCACAGATTTATTTTTCCTCTCTTCCTTCTTTCTCCTCTTTCCCCCAACACCCTATAAGCCTCCTTCATAACTGGTTGTAAGAGAGAACCACAGCATACGTGTGTGTATGTATATGTGTGTACAATGCACTACCATGTTCTCTCTAGTTTTATACAAACACACACAGAGGTGGTTTTTGTTTTTGTTTTTATCATTATTAGCATTCTGTGCTCTTGGTTCCCAATTTCAAACCCTATGATTTGGCACATTTTATACTCCCCTTTAAAAATAATTAAAATGTTTGTTGTTTTTTGTGACAGTAATTGCTTTCAGCCCCTACCTCCAAGCCACCTCAAGGTAAGCGGCCCCTTAAAAAAAAAAAAAAAAGTTTCCATATGTTTGCTCTGCAGTTTGGGTTGATCACTGGTGAAGCCTACACAATATGGTATCTTCTGTGCACTCAAGCAGAAGATAATAATTGCTAATTTTATAGAGTAAGTTAGATACTTTTTCTAACCACTTATGTACACTCTATTAGTAAGCCACTGCTCCTGGGCTTAGCATTGGTATATTGAACACGGTATACTATATAAAGAAGTACAATAACATACCCTGTATTAAAAACATCCAATTAATACATGACAGAAGCTAATTTACTTGTAGTTCTGACTTGCCCTTCCTCAGAGAGCTGTCACAGCAGGCATTATTCCCATACTTTTCCCCTACCTTGGCTTTCCAAACTACTCATCAGTTTTAATAAGCCCTGACTCAGGGCTTCTGTTTGACACACACATACACACATACACACATACACACATACACATACACACACACACACACTCACATTCATGTGTATATTGTATATGCATTTACTTCTATGTAATTTTATCATGTGCACATGATATACATACATATGAGTTACATCTAATATAAATTCTCTGTATAACAATCATGGGATAGTACTCTTTTTCCAACTTGTTATAAGAAAAATACCTTTTTTTTTTAAAGTTTATTTATTTAAAGAGAGAGCAAACAGGCATGCATGCATACACACAGGGGAGGGGCAAAGAGAGGGAGAGAGAGAATCCCAAGCAGGCTCCACTCTGTCAGTGCAGAGCTCAATGTGGGCTCAATCCCACAAACTGTGAGATCATGACCTGAACCAAAATCAAGAGTTTGGCACGATTGAGCTACCCAGGTGCCCCAAGAAAAATACCTTTCTGGGTGCCCGGGTGGCTCGGTCATTTAAGCATCCAACTCTTGATTTCAGGTCAAGTTATGACTGCATGTCTTAAGATCGAGCCAGCCCTGCATGTACTCAGAACTGGGCATGGAGCCTGCTTCAGGTTCTCTCTCTCCCTCTCCCCTTCTTCCCCTCTCCCACTCATGCTCCCTCTCCCTCCGCCCCTTGCCCACTCACACGCCCTCTCCCTCTCCCTCTAAAAATATAAAAATGAAAATAAAAAAATAAACGTTCTACTGTATTCTCAGGCTAGTAACTCAACATTCTTCTACCCACCTCTCATGTTAGTTTCTATTTGGGGGAATAAGGATATGCTCTGCTGCCAAAAATGTCTTTTACAAATGTTCAAAGAAATAAAAACAAAGTATTTTTCTTGTGGCATTTCTTACACAATGGCCCCAAATGTCAGTTTTATACACTACAGCTATTAGTGTACTGTTTTCAATTTTAGAGATACACTCCAGTAATCAAATGATGTACTTACCCAAAATGACTAAGATTCGTGGAATTAAACACTCATTCATTCATTAACCTTCCCATTAATGTACAAATTTTTTGTATCTTGCTCTTAAATATACAATCTTAATTTTTTCCTAATCTTCCTCAGAAAGATAATTTTTAAAATATTAAAGAAATAGTTTTCATTTCTAAGCAAATCTGAACTTCAATAAGCAGTCTTAACAGAGTATGCTCTTAAATACCCAATGAAAAACGATATTAAAACAGCACAATTAAAGCTGTATAAGTTTTACCTTAATTCTTCTCTCGGTGTCATCTAATTTTAACTCGGCGGAAACCAGCTTCTTTGCCAAATCATCTCGTTCAGGTAGGTGTCTAGCTTCAGAGATCTTTTTCAGTTTCTGCAAGGAAAATTTTGTCCTATATAGTTCTCCTTCAGTATCTTTCACCCTTTTCTCAGTTGCCCGTTCTTTCTCTTGAGATTTTCTTAAGCGTTCTTTGAGTGCTGTAATCTCATTGTTATGATGAGCAATAAGTTGTGAGATTTCATTTTCTGTATCTTCAAACTTATTCAGGGCTTTCTCCTGTCTGTATTGAAGCCTTTTCAAAGCCTTATTTTCTTTTAGCAGCTCAGCTAACTTGACCTGGAGTTCAGTTACTTCATTCTGCAATTCATTGATTTTTAGCAGTCTTGCAGAAAGAACCCGTTTTGTAACAAGATCAGTATCTTTCCGAAGTGGCTCCCTATTGAGGCTCTGAGAGCGAAATCCCACTCGGACTCCCTTTTTGTTTGGTGGATCCTTAGGGCTTGGCTTCCTAGCGGCTAAAAAGGAAACAGTAACAATGTAAAGTGAGAGCCCTACCAATGTAATATTACTTATTCATTCTAACACAAGTGGATCCATAACATTCTTTAATTATATTGTTCCTTAAAAAATGACCTTACAAAATTTAAGTATCAGGTTTTAGAGGTCTTAATATAATGTTAATGTATATAAATATACATATATTTATATACTAATGTTTTTATTAAGAAACATTCAGAATCTTTTAAGAAAGGTCAAGAATATTCTGACTTATCAAAATGATATCTCAATAGTTTACAGGGAATTATTTTACACTGCTTTAAAATATGGCAGTATCAGCGGTATCTCCCTCTGTCTGCCCCTCCCCCATTCGCACTCTGTCTCTCTCAAAAATAAACATTGAAAAAAAAAATTTTTTTTAATGCCAGTATCAGGCTTTACCATTTTCAACTTTATAGATAAGATGGCAAGCCAGAATTCAAACATGGTCATCATCACCATTAGCATGGTGTTTAATAAACACTGGACAAAACATTGTGATATTCAAGTAATTTATGCCAAGATATTTGGGATTATAATTCAGAATAATGAAATGTACATTTTCTCTAAATTAACCAGAACTTTTTCTTTATTTGGGGAAAGAAGATTACAACATATTATACAACAAGAAGACTTGGGTTTGGGACTCTGATTTACCACTTAAGAACTTCCTAGGCAATTCGGCTAAATCTTTCCAGGTCTATTTTCCCCACCCATAGAATTAGGATAACAGCACCTATATAACTAGGTTGTTGTGAGGACTAAACAAAGAATTCATATAAAATAGGAAGTTCTCCACAAATATTCTCTGGCACAATAAGAACCTAATCCCATTTATCAGCGATTAAAAATGAAAAACACTTTTAGCAGTACAGACATGATTTTAAATGTTTGCTCAGGGGCTTTCTTTTGTGTAAGGTTCAATCAAAAACATTTGATGCAATTTGAGAACAAGACAAAAACAAAAAAACTATACCCTAAAAAATATATGCATATGAAATCCTTAAACTATACATATTAAATAACGTTTCGCAAAAATTTGGAATGTCATTATTTATACTAAAAGTTCATTAAACTTAGGCCCCAGTGTATAGAGCCCCTGTCCTTTAAAAGAGGCATCTGGAAGCCTGCCACAGTTGAGAATAATGAACTTTAATCTCCAAGGTGACTGCAGTTTTTAAGAAGGAAATGCATTCCAGATGAAAAAAAAAAAAAAAAAAAAAAAAAAAAGAAAAGAAAAACTAGAAAATTTAACCTTTCCCTACCCATCTCTCTAGTCATGGATACCTTAATTCCATTATTTAAACAAGTAATATTTACAATTTACATTACAAAATTTCATTTAAAAAACAGAAGATTCTAATGACTGTGTTTTGAATGTGTACTGATTTGGGATTCCAGTTCTAAAAATGTGTGAATACACAAAAGGAAGTGGTAATGATAATAAATGAGGGAAAGCCTACTTGTAACTCTGAAACTACACTATCCAATATAGTAGTAGTCACTAGCCACATGTAGCTACTGAGAGATTTGAAACGTGGGCAGTCCAAACTGAGATCTGGTATACTGTAAAGTACATACTGAATTTCAAACACTTAGTTCAAAAAAAAAAAAAAAAGCAAGCACAATGTTCCAAACATAATGTTTTATATTAACTACATTTAGAAACAATAATATTTTGGGGGTGCCTGGGTGGCTCAGTCAGTTAAGCGTCCGACTTGATTTGACTCAGGTCACGATCTCAGCATTCATGAGATCCAGCTAGGCATCAGGCTCTGGGCTGACAGTGTGCAGCCTGCTTAGGATTCTCTCTCTCCCTCTCCCTGTGCCCCTCTCCTATGCACGTTCACTCTTTCTCCAAAAAAATTAAAAAAAAAATAAATAAATAAATTAAGATAATATTTTGGATATGTTGGTTTAAATGAAGTATATTATTAAAATTAATTTTACCTGTTTTTCTTTTTTAATATAGTTATCAGACAATATAAAATTGCATGTGTGGCCTACATTTGTGACTTGCATTATATTTCCTGTGGATAGCACTGCTCTAATTTTAAATTGGGGCATCCATCATTTCAATTTTCTTTCTTTCCCAACATACTGAGTTAGTAACAGTTTTGGTATCCATATCCTATTATGGAATATGTACTCAACTCTTAGAATGACAGAAACTTTATACATAAAAATGATTATAAAGATGAGTATTAATTCTTCCAAATTTCTGTTTTATGTATAAAATCATATTGCTCAGCAAACAAGATTTCATACAAATAGAAACTTATTTGAAAAGTTAAAGCCTATATAAGAATCGACAGAATTTTCCTCTAATATACTTCAGCTATTCAGTCAAACAGAAAGGCCTTCCAAAACCAACTTTTTCACATCCTAATAATTGGAACATTGATTTACAGCATATTCTATTCATATGACTACAAACTGATCATAAAAAGGACACTTAACCTAATTCAAAAATATTTCCTAAATGCCATTTACTTATTTTCATTTTTAAAACTATCAAGATGAAACACAGTGCTAATTCAAGTGAGAAGAGAAAAGATGATTGACTGTCATGTATATCACTCTTCATTTGCCCCTTGCTAAGTCAGTATGAAAAAGAGGGTGAGAAAGTATTGCTTTTTTGCTTCCTTCAGGTGATAAAAATAAAATATGACTCCTTTAAAAAACATGCAGTTAAAAAAAATGTAGTAAAGATGAATTACATATCTACAAAAAAACTCGATATTTATATTATTGGTAACACACGAGATAGAAAACATATATAACATGTAATATGCAAACATGTATAACCTAAACTATCATCAAATTTTATCATTATGCATATAACTTTTGATAGAACAATTTCATTTTTAAAAATAATTAGATATGCTGATAATTAAAAAGAGAAAGGAAGAATATGCTATCAAACATTCAAATCCACAAATTCAAGTGTTCAAGATGCTGTTTTAATTACATGTGTTCTTTCCTTAGTTTAGTATACACTGGCAGTTGCAACTTAAATAGCATATTCTATTTAACACTAACTCAGTGTTTAAGGAAACACTAAAGTGCTTAAGTGTAACTGGTATGGTCTTGTTGATTGATCTAAGGTAGACAAATTACCACAGATTTTAATTCAGAAGGCAATACAAAGCAGAAAATAGTAAAAGTCAGACTAAAGACAATAACGGATTTTTCTGGGTGATGTTGGAACTGTTTTTCATAGATTTTTCTCAATTATCTTCTTAAATAAGGTAAGGTTTAAGAATTTCTCTTTAATTAGGTAGCCTCCTAAATTGCTTTGGGGAAGTAGTAAAAAATTAAAGTATTCCTGCAAGTAATTCACGAAGTATGTAAATTATTTCTCAGGAGTAAATGGGCATTGTCTAAGATTCAACCCTAAAGTCTGTTTATTCTTAATTAGATAGCAAAAGTTTAATATCAGATCATGCTTTCAACCACAAAATCAAAACAAGAGGCTCACACTGAGGAAAAGACCAAAAAACTTGTAGCACTGTACTGGAGAAAGAAAGAAAAGAAAGGAAATAAATGAAGAGGAATGAAAAGGAAAGAAAGGAAGAGAAAGAAAAAGCACTCAACTGTTCTAAGTATGAACATCCCTGGGAAGTTAGATCAGGGGTCCATGAAAGGGTTGCTTTCAAAATTAACATATATTCTTTGCTGACTTTTTCAAAGCAAATGTTACTTTTCAAAGTAAAAATTTATAAAGGCAAATTTAATTACACCCCTGCTTAAATCTATTCTATAGCTAACTATTTCTCCACAGAAAACAGACAGTCAATATATTATTATAGGATTCAAGGTGTTTCATGACCTGGCCCCTGTTTCAGTTCCCAATTTTACCCCTCCCTGCCTTGCAATCTAAACTATATAATCTTTCTAAATGGGGCTGTTATAGCTGTGCTGCATTTATTAATGAACACTATAATTAACTCATTTGCCTTAGTTTATAATTCTGTAGTGTATTTTTCTACGGTAGTCCTTACATATTTTGTCACTAAGTACATCAGAGGTTTTTTGACCAGAAACTCATTAAGACAAAGAAGAGATTTCTAGAATATTGCCTTGTCAAATATGTATTAATATGTAGTTCCAGACTAGTAACATTTTAATAAGACAAATTATTTCTAATGATTAATCTTGTTTGCATTATAACACAGTTTAATAGAAAACAGAGTGGTGGTCCCAAGTCCCAAATTCCATTTCTAGAATTAATTTGAACTTTTGTAGTAAGTGCTGTGTAATCTAGATGAAGTAATTTTACTCAATCTATAAAAATGCCCCTTAAGTATTTTATAGCAATGTCTTCTGCTGCTTTTTAAAAGTGGAGACTTAAAAAGGTACTACTTTGCGATTTTTTTTTTTGCCTGTATAGTACCTCAGAAACACCAAGACAAGAATTTATTTAGAAAGAATAAAACAAAATGAGAAGGCTTATGTACAGTTCTTTCTTCTGTATATAGTATGATTTTTATTATAACAAAGGATAATACACAGCACCATAAGCAACAACTATATATACAAAACTATGTGTATATAACACACACAAACACACACACACACACATATATATATATAAATCAGCCCATTTCCATGCACATATCAATATACATAGTAATAGAAGAGTTTCATTCATACAACTTTCCTTCAACACTTAAAATGAGTCTTCTAGACTCTCTTTTAGAATGCTTACCTTGGTGATGTACTTGGCTATCTGAAATCTGTCTTTTAGGATTTTTTCCCTTTTTACTCTTAGGTGAAGAGGACTTGACTAGCGATGACCGGCCAGAAGATTGTTGAGTAGTTTCCAAATCAGATGAAGAATAAGAGTAATAATGTTTGTCTGTCTTACTTTCTTGATCATTATCTGGACTTCTTTCTCTTTCCCCCATGGTTTTTGAAAAATGTTCTCTATTCACATAATTTCACAGATTTCCTTTCTCCAAAAAAATCCATGACAAGCCTGAAGAGCAACCTTTAGAGTCTTCAGATCCTGGTGATAATATTCATGTCTGCATTTGTTTTCTCCAGATATCTGTAGTAGAGATTAGCCCATTAGCAACCAGAAGATACATATTTGTTCTTACAATTAAGGAAAGAGGGAAGGAAACTCATTATATTTTGTGAAATAGGTTTTATAGTTTATTATAATAAAAGATACTTAAAGCAAATAAATACTGCTTATAATTTTTAAAAGAGGCTATAATTCAATTCATCCCTATTTTCACATTGTTATTTACAGTCTATAGAAAAGACAGAATGTTGTAGCTTGGACAGAGAACATACAAAGTACCTAATATATAATTGTTTCTGAATAAATGCTAACTGAATTTGACTCCCCTGAATGTTAAGATTTATAATAAACACAAATGCTGATTTTTGACAGATGAATAATGACCATTATTCACCATTTTTTTCTCTTCTGGGGAGGCAGGGAGTGGTAAAGGCAAGCCTACTACTAGAAACAAACAAACAAAAATAACTACATAAAAATGTAAAATTAAAGTATGTAAAAAATTAACCAAATTTAATTTTTTTTTTTAATTTTTTTTTTCAACATTTATTTTTATTTTTGGGACAGAGAGAGACAGAGCATGAACAGGGGAGGGGCAGAGAGAGAGGGAGACACAGAATCGGAAACAGGCTCCAGGCTCTGAGCCATCAGCCCAGAGCCCGACGCGGGGCTCGAACTCACGGACCGCGAGATCGTGACCCGGCTGAAGTCGGACGCTTAACCGACTGCGCCACCCAGGCGCCCCAAAATTAACCAAATTTAAACACCTGGTGAAAAAGTTGCAATATGACAGAAAAATAGTTATCATCCTTAACATATAAATAAATAACTCCTATGACCCCACGAGAAAAATATGAGGTCAAAAGTTAAATGGGCAAATAGATGTTAAGACCCATAGAAAGAAAAAAAGACCCACTCAAAGAAAAAAGGGCAGGGTGTGCCCAGGGGGCCCTCAGTGGTCATGAGATTGAGCCCCACGCTGGGGTGTAGAGATTACTTAAATATTTTTTTAATGCTGCTGGAATGCCTATCAAGAGAAGATCCACAGTGGGGCACCTGGGTGGCTCACTCAGTTGAGCACCCGATTCTTGAATTCAGTTCAGGTCATGATCTCATGGTTCATGAGACTGAGCCCCACATTGGGCTCTGCACTGATAGCATGGAGCCCGCTTTGGATTCTCTCTCCCCCTCTCTGCCTCTCCCCAACTCACGCTTGTTCGCACTCTCTCTCAAAATAAATAAACATTAAAAAAAAAAAGATCCACAGGATATTTGGGAAAAAAAGTTGGCAAGATATATTAAAACTTTAATTATGCTTTTAACCTTTGGCCCAATAATCCCATTCCTATGTAATAAGAAAATAATCCTAAAATTAGGGGAAAAGTTATGCACAAATGTTTATGCAGTACAATTTTTTTTAATTTTTTTTCAATATATGAAGTTTATTGTCAAATTGGTTTCCATACAACACCCAGTGCTCATCCCAAAAGGTGCCCTCCTCAATATGCATCACCCACCCTCCCCTCCCTCCCACCCACCATCAAATATGCAGTACAATTTAAAAAAAAAAAGGAAGCAAACAAAATCTCTAACAATAGCAGAATAATTAAGAATATTGTAAAAATCAATACAGCATAATATCGTGCTGTCGTTAGAAAAACTTATAAAATGTTTGTGTTACCAGAGGAAATGTTTATACTACTATGGTAAAGAAAAAATTCAAACTAGTGAACACAATATGATCTCAACTACACATATTCATAAAAAAAACCCAAAAACCCAAAAGTAAGGAGTACTCTTCCCTGATGAAGTGAAAAATATTTGCAAAGTAAGGGATATATATACACCCAAATAGTGTCTGAGCAGCATGGATTTTAGATGATTTTTTCTCTCTTTATATATATTTTTTTTTTAATTTTTTTTTTCAACGTTTATTTATTTTTGGGACAGAGAGAGACAGAGCATGAACGGGCGAGGGGCAGAGAGAGAGGGAGACACAGAATCGGAAACAGGCTCCAGGCTCTGAGCCATCAGCCCAGAGCCCGACGCGGGGCTCGAACTCACGGACCGCGAGATCGTGACCTGGCTGAAGTCGGACGCTTAACCGACTGCGCCACCCAGGCGCCCCTCTCTTTATATATTTTTATTTTCTATTAAAATAAAATTACTTTTTTAATTGGAATAATCATTTTTAATATTAAAAAAAATCCCACTGATGAAATTACTGTTACAAGTATAGTGCTTCTAGCACTATATGCAAGAAACATATGCACAAGGTGGCACTACTACTGTTCATTGCAGCAGTATTACAGTGGTAGAGAACTAAAACAATCAAAGGACCATCAATGAGGAACTAGCTACATATAACCACACAGTGAAGTACAATACTATCAAGCTACTAAGGGAATGAGGACTACCTCTGTGTATTTTCTGCAGTCTGGAGTGAGCTCCACAATGTATTAAGCACAAGAATATGGAGAAATCATGTATAGTCTTTCTTCATCAAAGAGAGATTGCAAATTTGCATACATAATGCTTTATATTTTTAAAAAGGAAAAAGATAAAGAAACACTTAATGGGGGGGAAAAGAAGGGTTCTGTAAGGCAAGGCTGTCCAATAAAACTTTCATCAAGAATGGAAATGTTCTATAATCTGTGCTGTCCAGTATGGTAGCTGGCCACATATGGCTACTGGGCACCCTGAAATGTGGTAAATGTGACTGAATAACTAATTTCTTAATTTTGTTGAATTTTAATTAACTCAAGTTTTTAAAGCTGCATATACTGGTGCTTGGCTCATTGAATCTCAATGATCTCATCTTTAAAGACAATAATAATAGTAACTTCCTTAGAGAACTGCTATGACAGTTAAATGGGGATAATTCAAGAACTATGACACAATAAGCACTCGGTAAAAATCAACTATTTACAATTCAAACATACAAGATATTCAGTAAATTGATTGATATTCCTTGTCAAAACTGTTTTAATTCCAATAATATAACTAAAAGCTGATTAAATGGTATAGATGGGGATTATTTGTTTATATGCATATAGCAGAAGCAACTCCCTATGACCTATCACATCTTAATCAGAGGTGCCTAACTTTTCATTGCAAAAGGTAGAACCCACAAAACATTACCTGTCATTTACCTCCTATGCACCAACACTCACTCTCCCCCATCCCACCTCAAATATATGCATAAAGTTTTAAAAAAAGGAAACATCCACTGACCCATTATTCAAGTCCCTCTCCCTGGAATAACTATTTTAATGGCTTATACTTTCATGCTTATGCTATTTCTTGAATTAGCAACTTGAGACTATAAAAGATGAGGATTTAACTTGTGACTCATTTTAAATGTTTGCAACATGCAATGGCTTGTTGGGTTATGCAAGGTTTTTTCCTTAGAATTCCTAATTGTCCTTTTATCCTATTGAAAGGAAAAAACCACCTTTCTATATCACTAATATTTACCCAGCTTCCTAATCATTCTATCTACAGGCTGAATCCATTCCATTCTTCCTCTTAAAGACATTTTCCTTGGGACCAATTATTTCCTATTCTACTTTAAACAATTACTTTGTATATCTGTTATACCACTGTCATTCTGGAATCACTTTTATAGTACTTCTGAGTTGATCCACCATTTCTAGTAGCTCATGTCACCGTCTTTAGTTTTGCTCATTTTACTGATCCATATCCTCAAATAACTTCAACAGAAAGGGTATATAGATAGGTTAAGAGGTAAATGTTCTGAGTCCTTATATACCTGAGAACGTCTTTATTTTGCCCTCCAATTTGATACTTTTCATAGGTTCTGCATTCTAAGTTAAGTCATTTTCTCTCAGAGCTTTAAAGACACTGCTCCACTGTCTTCTAAACCCTGAAGAGGTTCTCGCTAGATGTTACAGTCATTCTTTTATTCAACATGTATTTCTGTTGAACTTTTACCATGTAACCATAAAGAAAACAACAACAACAATAATCCTTGCCATTATGGAGTTTACACTCTAGTTATGCTCATCTGATTCTCATTCCTTTATAGGTTATCTTTTTTTTCCCCCCCTCCTTAGGAGCTTCTAGAATTTTCCCTCCTCTTATACTGCAATTCCACAACGTGCCTAGGTGTGGGTCATTTTTTTCATTGATTGTGTTGCCCCTTTATCTCCCTCCTCCTTTTAATATTGAAACAAGTATCTTTAAGCACTAGAAATGTTATGTTACTTTTCTGATAACCCACTTTCCTGTTTACTCTTTTTCAAACTGACTAAATAACTGACTAAATAACAAACCTGCTCTCTGTTTTTCTATTTTCAAATAGAAACTTACTCAACTTATCTTTTAACTATCCAGGGTTGTTGTTTATTGTTTTTAATTTGTATAAACACTTTAATTTCCAATAAATCTTTCTTACTATGATTTTTTAATAATTATTCTGTTCTTGCTTTACTGAGGCAATACATTTTTATTTCTCTGAGAACACTAGACATTTTATTTTTTATTATTTTTTTTTAATGTTTGTTTTTGAGAGAGACAGTGTGTGAGTTGGGGAGGGGCACAGAAGCTGAAGGAGGCTCCAGGCTCTGAGCTATTAGCTCAGAGACCAACACGGGGCTCCAGTGGGGCTCAAACTCACGAACTGTGAGATTATGACCTGAGCTGAAGTCGGGCACTTAGCCAACCTAGTCACCAGGTGCCTCCATTTTGTTTGTTTTAAATTAAGATCTCTTCTGATTCAGGAACTATCTGTTTCACATGGTGAAAGTTTTTCTCTTTACCATAGAATTTTCATTTATAATACT